ACCCCCCCCCCCCCCCCCCCCCCCGTCCTGCCAGCATGCAGCCTCAGCCTTGCCGCCTGCAGCACCAGTTGGTGCCACTCCCCCCACACCACACCACACACACACACACTCTGTCTGCCTCTCCTCCCCTCCTCCCGCCCTGCCCTCAGGTGGTGGACCGCAACTCGCAGCGCCTGCTGCGCCACCTCATCCGCCGCAACCCCAGCATACGGTGGGATGCGGGCAAGGTGGCCAGCTGCCGCTGGCTGGGCAGCTCCGACTTCCAGGTGAGAGGGGGCGGTAGCGCCTGGGGTGGCAGCGCCTGGGAGCGGTACTGGGGGGTACCGGGCCTCCTCAGCTGTCGCTCTGCTCGGTGCAACAGCGAGGGGGGCGAAAGGGGTTAGATACCTCTCGTGTCCTTTCCCTGCGCCCTGTCCTTGCCTGCCTGACTGCGCCCCAACCCTGCTGCCGCCCTGGGGCTGGCTGCGTGCAGGCGTACCGCGTCACAGGGTGAACTATTGCTACGTGAGCTGTGCCGCGCCGCCATTCGGCCGGGACCACGTGCGTCCCTTGAAGCACTTGACATGCCTACACCCCCCATGCCTCCCACACACGTGTGTACATGGGACCCTCATTGCTGCCTGGTATCCCTGGTACCCTTCCCCCCGCCTGTGCTGCACATACACATACCGCTCCTTCACCCCAACATATTTTTGCCGCTCCTCCTGTTTTCATCTTTTATCTCTGGAAGCGCCCGGCAGGTGCCGCACTGCCACACACTGTCAACAACGATATGCCGCCGGCTGCTCTGGCCTCGCATCTCCACAGCTATAGCGGGGGGTTACAGGCCATATGGCCGGTGTGGGGCAACCAGCTGGAAACAGGCTATCAACAGTGCGATGATGATGCAGTACGAACACAAAGCAGTGCAACAGATGTGGATTTGTGTGGTGGTCAGGACAGCAGGCGTGCGCTGCACGCCCTGCAGCCGAAATGCTTGCAGCCGGCATGCCGGCCGCCGCGCCTAGTTGCACGCTCAGCAGACGGCGGCGGCCGCGTCGCCACAGTAGAAGCGGATGCCTGTGGCGTAGTCGGTGCCATTGACAGCATCAGGCCTCACCGCCACCTGCACGGCACCGCCACCACAGCGCAGCGTCAGGGCCGAGAGCTGCGTGGGCACGAGTGCGCCCGGTGGGGCGGCAGCGGCGGCAAGCAGGGAGGTGGCGTGGCGCGGGCAGGGCGCGGCGCAGGCCTCCTGCCGCCACTCACGCTGTACCCGGTCAGCTTCTCCCCGTCGGCGCAGTAGTAACTGGTGGACTGGGGGCCGGAGCCGCCCAGGTCGCCCAGGCTGTGGGGCGGGCGGGAGCAGGGGAGGCGGGCGCCGCGGGTTGGCTGGGCGCACAGAACGCAGAGGCCCCTCTGCCTCGCGCTGCTGGCCCGCGGCAGGCGCGGCGTGGCGCGGCGCGGCGCGGCGTGGCGCAGGCGGTACGCTCACTTGTTGATGTATGTGCCGTACTGGATCGTCATGCCCCTGAACCCATTCACGCCCCGCCAGCTCTGCGTGGGCACGTCGGCGCCAGGGAAGACCTGCGGTGCGGCGCAGAAGAAAGCACAGGCAGGCAGGCAGGCGGCGGCGGAGTGACGCATGGCACGGCGCCGCCGCAGGGACGCAGGGCTGGGTGGCGCGGGCGGGCGGGGCGCGGCGGGCGGGCGCCAGCTGGCGCCAGCTGGCGCAGGCACCTGCACTTGGGTTCCGTTGGAGCAGTCTGAGGTGATGCCGTACATCCTGCCAGTCTCGGCACCCTGGCTGAAGGAGGAGTCGATCCAGAAGTTGAAGTTCTGCAGGGCGCGGGGCGGGAGGCGCAGGGGGCGGTCAGGCGGGCGGGGTTGCCAGGCAGGCAGGCAGGCCGGCATGGCCCCCGGCCGCGGCAGCGAGCAGCAGGCCAACAGCAGCAGGCTGGCAGCGTGGCGTGGCACCGGCCCGTGCACCCCGGCCCTCCACTCACGTTCACCACCTGCCCGCAGGGGCACACGCCCTCCAGCACGCGCGTCTCCGCCTGCTGCGCCGGGTCGGGCGACTCGCCGATAAAGTCCGACCAGGTGCCCGGCGGCAGCGGGGCGGGCGGCGGCGGCGCGGCCGCGGCGGCCGCGGGCGGCGGGAAGGTCAGGATGGTGCCGCCGCAGTCGAGGGTGTCGCCGCACAGGAACTGCATGCCGGTCACGTACTCGAAGCCGGTGCTAGCCAGGGTGGTGTCCAGCTGCGGCAGGGGCACCAGGGGGAGGCGGGGAGGCGCGGGCGGGGAGGGGGCGGGTTTGGGAGGTGGGCAGCGGGCAGGGCCGGCAGCTGGCGGCCCCGAGGAAGCAACAGCCGGGCACGGGTGCGGGCTGCGGGCTCGGCGGCTGGAACGAGGGGCAGGCAGCAGCGGCGGAGCGCTCACGGCAAAGCCGGTGATGGGCAGCCCTCCGGGGCAGGTGGCGGTGAAGTTTTTGGGGCCGGTGCCGCCCATGCCGGCAAACCTGCGACCGGGGCAGCACGCGCGGCGTCAGGGCAGGCATCCTTTGGGTGTTGGGATAGGGCACATGTCAGTGGGCGATGCGCTTGCCGGCAGAGCGGCCCAACCGCCCAGCGGCGCCGGCGCGCCCTGCTGCGGGTGCTACCTGCGCTGCGCATGCTTCCTATCTACAGCCGCCCCCACCTGTTGATGAACTCCCCGTACAGCCCGCCCACAGCGGGATAGCCCGTGGCGTTTGTGGTGCTGTTGCTGGGCGCGCCGGGTCCCAGCAGCGCCTGCGGGCGTGGGGAGCAAGCGCGCACACACTCTCACAGGGCGGCGGCACCGGCAAGCGGCAGCGCCGCGTGGGCGGGATGGCGGCCAGCGAGCGGCGGGCGGCCGTGTGCTGCCATAAATCCCCACCTCTACAACATTAGTAAACTGGTCTTCCCCAGAGCATGTGGCGGAGACGCCTGTGATGGCGCCGCTCTCGCCCTGGGGCCCGGTGAAAGTGGAATCCAGCCAGACGTTCCAAGACTGCAGGCAGGCGGCGGGCGCAGGCGCGGCGCGGCGCGGTCGGCCCTCTGCTGGGCTTGCTCCGAGGCGCGGCATGCCTGTGGCGCACGCGGCGCAGTCCACAGGCGGGGCGGGGCGCGGCCGTGGCCAGCGCCGACCAGGCCAGCGGCGAGGCATGGTGGCATGCGGTGCGGCAGCACGGGCGAGGCGCGCGGTGGCGGCGGGGAAGGGTGCCGCACCCGAATGAATGTGCCGCAGGAGCAGACGCCGCCATAGTCGCCCGGGCCCTTGCTGGAGCCCACCCAACCCGTCCAGGTGCCGTTTGGGAGCTCGATGGGGAGCGGGGCGGGTGAGGGGGTGGGCTGTGGCGAGGGCGGAGGGGCACGGGCCGGGGGCGGCGGCGACTTGGCGGCGGCGGGGGCGGGGGAGGCGGCGCCGCACTCTGGCGGCGAGCCGCAGTAGAAGCGCAGCCCCGACACAAACTCCCGGGTCCCCTGCTTCTCGGTGTCCACCTGTGTGTGTGAGGTGGGTGTGAGGTGGGCGGGGAGGGAGCCCAGGGGGTACACACACAGTCGGCCAGAGCAGCGCAGGGGACAGCAGGCTTGGAAGGCCAGGCATCTCGCCCCTTGCAGCAAGGGGCATGCAGCATGTCGGGCCCATGCACGCTGTGATGCCGCGGTGGGGCTCACGTCAAACCCTGTTACTGTCTGGCCGCCGGGGCAGGCATACGTGAAGGACTCGGGGCCCGCGCCGCCCACACCATTCAGGCTGCACATGGCAGGGGGGGCGCAGAGCAGTGTGGGGCAGGGCGGGTGGCGGCGGCAGGGGGCCAGGTCGCTCACACGGGAGACGGCAATGTCTGCCTGCCAAGCAGCCAGGAACTGCAGCTATGGCCGCCGTGGTGCGCCACACACACACACACACACACATGGATGGATGGCCCTGAGCTCACTTGGTGACAAAGGTGCCGTACTGCCCGTACATCTCCAGGAAGCCGTCCTGGTTGAGCATGGCGTTGGTGGGCGGTCCCGTGCCCGGGAACGCCTGCAGGCGGGGCAGGCGGCGGGGAGGTGAGCGGTACAGGCGGTACCAGCAGGCCGGCTGTAAGCTGTGTACCAGCGTCGGCCTGCGCAGCAGACAAAAGAAAGGTGCAGCATCAGGCGCAGCGCAGCGATTGCGCCAGCCTGGGCGGCGTGCGTGCCTGCAGCGGGATCTTGGCTGCCCCGGAGCACTCTGCTGTGAGGCCTGAGAACGCGCCCGTCTCGTTGCCAACAGCGTACGCCACATCAGACCAGATGTTCCAGTACTGCGGGCGGGCAGGCGGGCAGGAGAGGTGCGGGGCTGGCGGTGAAGCAGACGGCCCGGTGAGGCGGGTGTTGCAGCTTGAGGCAGCTGCAGCATGCATGCTGCCAGGTCCTGGCCCACACCTCGATGAAGGTACCGCAGGGGCACACGCCGCCGTAGCTGCCCGGCCCCTTCCCAGCTCCAACCCAGGGCGACCAGCCCGCCTGCGTCGCGTTGGGCGGCGACGGTGCAGCCGCCGGCGGCGGCTGGCTGGCCACGGGGGAGGGCACAGGGGTGGGGGAGGGGGTGGGGGACGGGGAGGGCACGGGGCCGCCGCCGCAGGTGTTGGGGTTTTCGCAGTAGATGCGCAGGCCGGTGGCCAGGTCGGTGGCGGGCGCCGCCGTGGAGGCATTCCAAGACACGTGGAGGCCCGTCACCAGCTCGCCAGGCAGGCAGGACCACTTGGCCTGTAGCGGGAAGGGGGCAGGGGGCTGGCGCCGGTGACGAGGACGGCGCACGACCGGCACAATGCCGCCGCCGCGCAGCCGCGCGTGGTGCGGGGCAGCCGCATCGGCAGCAGCTGCCCCGCAGCTGTGCCTGGGCGCCAGCCTGGCAGGCCGCCGAAGTGCGGGGCTCACCAGGATGGGCCCTGTGCCTCCCATGCCCAGCCAGTTGTCGATGTAGGAGCCACGCTCGGCGGTGACGTTGGTCCAGCCTGCAGGCTCCTCCAGGCTGGCATCCTCCGGCCCCTTCCCAGGGAACACCTGCAGGCAGGCAGGCGGGTGGGCAGG